GATACAGCGCTGCTTCATTTTGCGAGGCTGGATGTGCGACTATTTAATCGAGATCGTTACCCCTCCCCTTCCCCCTTTCACACTTGATGATCCTTCTTCATGCTGTCGAATACGGAATTATCTCTCTCTCTCTCTTTCGTTTATTTTATCTTCACTCTCTTTACTTAATTATATTCAAATTACAATATATTCAAATGTTCTGATATCTTTAAACATCTGTTTCAAATTAAATCTTAAGCAAAATGATTTCCGTAATTAATAATCGTCCGATGAATTGTCGAAAATGATGTCTGATTACTTTGAAATGAAATTTGTTTTATCAAAAATTTTATGATTACATTATATATGTAAGTGTCATGAACAAGCTATGAATTCGAGAGAATTCGCACAGCTGGGTTTTCACGTAGATCGATTGCCGTTTCGAGAAATAACGTTCATTTTTCGTAGCTCGGAATGTGATAAATGAGTCTTCGTGCTTGAACATGTTGTGGCTTTCGCGGACGATGAAAGTTTGATTTTTCGCCGAGGTCAGTGGCAGCCAGTGCTCGATGAGTAGAACCGCATTACCGACGTGCCAATCGCAGGCGCATCGCGGTTGAAGCTTCGGCACACTCAAATTGTAAAAATATTCCACTATTTTTAAACCTCTGTTGTGCCATTAATATGCCTAACGTAAAAAATGAGAATTAGGTATACGTCAGAATTAAGTGCTACTCAAGTGCTAACTTAGTGCTCTGTTCCTAATTTTAGTGCTCAGTTTAGTGCTCGTTTAACGAGAACTCGCGATTGAAACTGTATGTGTTTTGCACATCAAACCACTTTCACTCCTAAGTACAGAATAAAAAAGTAAATAGAATATATTTAAGCATTTTTTTTTAATGCTTCAGAGAGTAACAAAATTGAATTATCGTTATAATTTCAAAAATACGAGCCAATAAAAATAAGCATGCGTACAAGAATAAAATATTATTAAAACATCAAAGGAGAGAATATCGATTCTAGAGTTTTAAAATATTTAAAAAATTATATTCCTTCCAGAATATAGAAAATCAATCTTAATGCTCACTCCTTGTTACCGGAAATGCAGTTTTAACTTACCCAGTAAATCAAAGCTAACAAAAACAAAATATAAAATCTATAAAATCAATATAGGAAATTGATTTTCGACTCCTAAAATATTCAACGATTTCGATGTTTTCAAAATACAGAAAATCAAATTTTGGTGTTCGTTCTTTGTCGTTTGAAAAATGCAAAATTCCCTGATTGCCGCGTGTCAGAATTAACGAGAATGAATTTCCATCCAGCGAAAATAAAATCGAGATAGAGAAACACGTTATTCCGCGTTATCGATGTGAAACGCTGAGTAACGCGATCATATGTTTTATGACATACGAACAGAACGTAAAATTATAGCATCACAAAGACGCTATACAAATATTTTTTTGCAAAGTATACCTTTGCACTTATTATATAATATTAAAAAAAAAAGAATATTTCTCTTTTACCGAAATTATGCCATTAATTTTAGTCCTCGGTGAAATATATAGCGTGTATTTAAATCAAACATTGCTTCGCCGGCTGACATTACGGCCGGCATCGGGGAAATTTCAAACGGTCTAAGGTTAAAAATACACGTTGCAATATCCGACTGGATAGAGTTTCTCCCTCGGACTTTCGGTTGAACGAACGTCAAATGTACATGTAGCAATCCGTCGGGGCTGCCCCGATACGGACCCGATATTATCCCGCCAGGAATCAATTCTTTCGGTGCCGCGGCTCTCCGTTCCGAAAGTTCTTGTGCCTGGGTTCTTATTAATTCCACGAAATCTGGAACACCCAGCGTGGGTCCGGGGCGAGACATTAATTATGGAGTATCGTAGCGTTCCTTCGAATCCCACAAAGGGGAAACGTATATCAGGAAGGAAAGACCGAAAAATTTCTCACGCGACGCCAGGGCATAATCGATCCGGCGCAGTTGAGGGACCGCGGGCGGGAGAGAAACTCCGGTTCTCTATACGAGCGCGCGGGTTCTCCTCTCTCGTCGATATTTAACGATCCCGCGAGGGATCGAAGGCGGAATACGAGAGCGGGCAGGTCGGTAGATATCACTCGCGATTCCGTAGAATCTATCCACTTGAAGCGGCCGCGTGGTACGCGACCGTGTTATTGACCCCGAGACGGAAAGTGCGACGAGCAAGTTCGCCGCACGGTGACGACGATATACTTATAGTACGCGGATGCGCACTTACGATATTGCGTTTCAAACGTGTTGGACGATGTTTGCGACAATGCAACAACGGACTTTCTATCCGTCGATAGAGACCCGCCATACAAAGTCGTTCGCATGCCAACGAAGTTTCCAAGCTCGGCGGCTATAGCCTGCACCGTCCGCTATTAAAGCGCGTGACACGCGAATAGCGTGACGGCTCATCGAAAAACGTAAGGACGATCTCGAGAGCGCACCGGCTGTCACTCAAGCGGCCTTAGCGTCCGTAAAGATAACGTCGTTTCTCCGTGGGGGAATTAACTGACGGGGCGACGCTCCGAAGATAATTAATTAGGGCGACTAATCGTTCTCGATTAATTGTCAGATATGCTGGAGGACGCGAACGTACGTTTAATCGGGGATAATGAAATCGCGACCTATTCACGCTCGAATTTTTACGCCGGTCAATAATTGCCAGGCCAATGGATTATGAAGTGATTAAATTTTGCGTAGTTTCTTTTGTTCGTGATATATAAATGGAATTATTGTAATTAATAACTACCGTTCCATACATATAGTGCTGCAACAATATTTTATTCGCTGAATAATATTGCACATTTATAAATTAAATTGCGCATCGAGGAATATTTTTAGTTGTGACATGGGAAAATGCATATCTATTCCAGAGCGACTTAATCTTATCTCCGATGCTAATGCTTGCTCTCCATTTGTCAGAGCTGTCTTAACCACCATCAATTTTGTATGTTCTTTCTCAATAACATCTGATCATTAGAAATGAATTTCAGCTTTCAGGACGTGCTGAAAATATGATAACTTACCTGAGGAGATATTCTATTCTTGATTCTCGATTTCTTGTTTTGTTTATTTTCAATTACCCTTTTGTACAGTTTATATATATGTATGTATAACGAGCTATGTACATATCTTAATTTTAAAATAATTCGATCGAATCTCTTAGTTGATTGAATCAATCTTCCGAGATAATTAATTATGTTCTTGTCGACGGCATACATTGTATTCCCTAAAGCTAGTTCCATTAATCTTTGACTTGATCGAGAGAGACATTTTCGAGAGAGCTATTTCGAATTCCGCGTTACTTTGCGACGATGAAACACCGCGGCGATACATTTTGGCAAATTGCCTAGGAGGTCGAATTAAATGGTATCGCGTAACTGTGTACCGATAGACAAAAGTCGATATCACCGTAAAAACATGGCTCGCGAAACAATTCGCAATTCAGCGTCGATCTCAGCGTGGATTATGAAATAAAAAAGAAATCGTCGCGCGCGTAAAAACGGGAGGTCCTGCGTTAAATGGCGTGAAATTGAAATTACTTCGATTTGAATTAATCAGAGGGAATTAAAAACGTTTCGTTTCGCGCCCTTGACGAGAAAACGTTACCCTTATCATTATCGATAATGTCATTACTTACTTATGGTTTGAGTCAATTAACTGGCACAACTTAAATTAAATGAACAAAAAGAGAATTAAATAGAGAACATAATCGTCTTGGATTACACCAATTTTTCAACGATATTGTAATAAGTCTTACGTGATAGATACAAGTATATTCTTAGAGTATTATCACATGCATTCATGTACACCCATACACGTACATACACACTCACATACACGATCGCAACGTTCGTTGTAACGTCCTAATAGCACAACAGTATTTTAGTGCTATTTACTTTGTTGTTGGCATATAATAAGTTAACCGTTTATTCACCATTTCTCACGAAAATCTGATTTGGCGTCACGTAATTATTTACTGTGATAAATAATTATGATGAACTTGAGAGATGTTGCTTCGCGTGAAAGCGATTCTTATTGTTGGGAACCTAAATTCGATCCGAAGTTTATTCCCGCATTTATACTCCTGAAATGGAGTTTTTTTTTTAAATTCATTCGAGAAATTGCGAGAGATTGGTTTCCGTGTGTAATTATATACAGTAAAAAATTTTTTGACGAATCAAGCCGTGTTTTTAATTGTCTCGCAAAACGCACTCACACTTACAGTCGCGCACCAGGCCGTGTTCCAAGTCGCATCGATCGTACAACTTCATCCGCGTCGCTCAAAGTTACGTCTGCATTATTCAAACTGATCCTAGAACTCAACAAACTGGTCCGGCAAAAAAAAGAAGAGAGAATCGCGATGAATAAATGTGAACTGGATCACGGCCTGGTCCATAATTAACAAGGACAAAGAAGTGGCTGCATTGCTGTGCAAGCCACCGCAAGCGCAGGTACATTTGGTAGCGAAAACATCGAGTTTAATCCTAAAGAGCGAGCTTTAACGCTAAGTTAGCTAAATTATCAATATTTTTGCACTTATTATAGTTTTTTATTTTAAAAAAATGTAATGAATAAAAAAGTTTCGAAGTATATTTTGCTGCCTGAGCGGTAAAGATAAATATACTTTTGCAAGATAAAAAAAGGTAAAACTATCGAGTATCTTTCAACCACTGATAAATAGATGGCAAAATGAAAAAAAAAAGACAATCGTTTGCTTCGATCTGACGTGGATGATTTATCGAAATTTAATCGCGAAAATTAAGATTTCGAGATAAGTAATAAATTTTCTTCATATGTTCATTGAGCTTGTCGCAAAGTCTATGGCGTCGAATATTTGTGGAAGCACCTCTTACATTTAACAGCTTCTACTATTTAGGATTAAACACCTATCGCACTAGATCCGTGATTACGTGAGACGAGTCGGCCGGCCGGTCGTGTGGCGGCAGTCTGGCGATTTGGAACACGGCCCCGTATAGAGTCACTGCCTGTACACCTCAGCGTTGTTGAGGAGCCACTCACCTGCAGCCCGTTTACACGGCTCCTGCCTCGGTTCCTGCCTCTTGATCGGCATCTTCGTCGGCAAGATGTCGCGTACATCCGCGATATCGATTGGCTTTACGATAACGTCTATTTGCTCGTTGTCGTTCGCCGTGCCCATCATCGTCATCGTCGTCATCGGTGCCGGTGTTACCTTTGCCACCGTCATCATCGCATTCATCGTCGTCGTCGTTATCGTCGCCGCCGCCGCCGCCGCGACGACGGCGTGCCGTGAATCGTGCGCGTCTCCAGCTTGTTCCACGACCGGCAACCCTCGCCCCGAGTCCGCCATCGAGGTGCGCTGCTGCTCCTGGAGTAAGCAGGCGCTCGACAACAAATCCCATTGGCGGAGCTTCTCTCGGTCGAGCTCGAACGACGTCGCGGACATACGGACGTCCGGGATCGAGCGAGCCGGGGGAAGGTTGCCGTCCTCTAAAAAATGATTCCTGTCCGAAACGGTGGGCTTGTGATAGATCTTGTTTTGTGGATCCCACACGTAGCCGCCTGTGCCGATCACCTCCATCGACAAGGTCTCATAAGTGTCGTCGTCATCCTCGATCGGCCGTTCTCGCGTATGGTGATCCTTGTTCGTTCTGCGTTTGACTCGCGGTCGTTCGCTGCACGAAGATTCCTCCGCGCAATTGTCCCTGCGCAAAACGACACTGTCGTTCACGTAGGTCGCACCCCGCGTGATTCTGCCGCGCGATTTTGCATCACCGGATCTTCCAGGTCTCGGCGGACTGTCTAGATTATCCAACGATCTGGCATTACGCAGACTCACCCTCCTCAGGCTCTCGCACCAAAGGCTATCCTGTTCCCAGGGATCTTCGGAATTGAAATTACTATCAGTCACGGCATTATGATTGTCAGACGATGGCATGTTTTGCAGCGTTGCCTGGATTTGACTGGTCGAGGCCGTTGAAGTCACCACTGTCATCGCCGTTGCCGCTGCCGCCGCTCGGTTAGCTCGGTTTCGCTGCTCCACTAAATTTTGCAGGCCGACGTCGTCGAGTAATCCCTCGAGAGATCTCGACCGACGATGAGACGCTTGTGTGACGTGCGTCGGTTCCGTGTTATCGACGTTGCCTGGATTAACGGACTTATCTCTAAGACCGTGGGGATATAAGTTTCTAGCCTCGGGCAGAGATACATCTGGCAGTGGATCAGTGGATTTCACCCGGCGCAACGTGTCGGCCTCGTAGAAATTTCTCTTGTCTACGAGAGCGGCTTTATTGTCGCCGAGCAGCTGGCAGGTCGTCCGCCTCAGTTCTGCGGCGATACGTCTAGCCTCGTCTATGTCGTCTACTTGAATCTGCCGTGGCATTTGCCGCGCGATCGGGTTCACTATACGACCGATATCATTCCGCTTGCTCAAGCCGATCGCCGCGTCGTCCCTCTGATTGTTTAGCTGAGGTAATCGCGAGGTATGGCCGATCATCGGTTTGGTCAGCTCTATATCCACACTGTTGACACTCGCTTGGAGGTCCGAATAGTAATAGGGCGCTCCCGATTGATCGCTCTGGGCACGCTGCTCGCCGGCGTTTGGTAAATATGACTGCAGTAGAACGGGATTAGTTTGTATCGACATTGGGCTGGGATAATGGCTCGAGTCCTGGCTGGAAGTTGATCGATGATTCGGCAGTACATGTCGTACACACGCGTCGTGACTGGCGGACCTCGAGTGATTCGGGAACCTTTGCTCGGAATACGCGTTGACGTTCTGCAGCATACTCGCTAGCGTGCTACCGTGATTCACCGAGGACATGGACGCGCTGATGGGCGAGTGCATCGAGGATTGCGCGCTCGCGGGCCTCTGGCAAGCCATGGACGTCGAGATGGACGCTGCGATCGATGCGTTCGAGTAACTGGAATCCCTGCTGTGAGAGATTGGTAGCGCGCTAATGCTCTGGGACGTGCTCTGCATCCTGTGAACGCTGTCGCGTGGCGGCTCGCTGTCGGGTCGAACCGCCGGCGAACCGCGAAGCGGCGAGAAGCTCGCGACGTTCTCGTAATGCGCGTCGCCGGTGAAGGACTGCGAGTGTTGGTGGGTCGGCGGTAGATCGGATACTCTCATGGATGGCAAGCTGCTTGCCGAGCCGGTTTTATTTTTACCGGAATAATCGAACGGCCGATCGAGATTGCTCGACATTAATTTCATCTTCCTCGATAGATCCTGACACGTGGTCTTCTGCAGCTTATCAACCACTAGCATATTCTCGTTGAATCCGTAAATGCTGTTGTAGCTCGGATCTTTTGCGTAAAGATCCACATTGAACGCATCTCTAGCCTGTAATTCCTCCAAGTATTGATCGAGGTCGATGCTCGCGCCATCGAAGCGACTTCCCAACGATTCTAATTCGTCTAGACTGTCCAGAACTTCGCAAACATCATCGCTGACCGGTCTCCTCTTCAATTGTCTGTGCCGAGCTTCCTCCTCTGGATTTCTGAGCTCGGTCGAATCGCTTCCGGATGCGCTCTCCAACGATATTCTGCTATCTCTAAAGTTGGAGCTGATTGTCGCATCGGAAAACCTTGACGGTGGCCTGTGCATTTCCATCTGACCTACTGATTTGTTCCAAGATTTTGGAGAGTCGCGACTCAGCACGTTATCCTTCGTCGTAGCCACCTGCGGCGAGACCTTCTTTATTTCCAAGGATTCCTGCATGTCCAGCGATTCCAAATCGTCCAACGGCGGCGGAGAGGTCGGTATCGGTGGCGGGGATACGAGCTCACTGTCCGACGAGTCGTGTAATTCCGCCATCATGTTGCGGCTAGCTCCCAGATAATAAGAAGCCGGTCGGAAGGTGTCGGACAGACTGAATCGCGGATGCCGTGGTGCATCTATCGACTCCAAGTCCTTGGACGACTCGTCGTCGGCGTCAGAACTATCGGACTTGAGCGCCGTCAAGATGTCGGGCAGATCGCCCCTGGAATGCGGTGAATTCTCGTTGGCGTTGCTCTTTCTCATCAAGGATGCGTTACTGCCGTCTTCGTCCTCTTTTTCGGACAATTGATTCACCTCCATATATACCGGCTCAATCTTGTTATCCGACACGCAGACAAGTTCGTAGTGGGACGCGTCCAGCGTGGAATAATCGCCGGAATCGTGCTTTCTGCCGCCCTCGTTCGGTGCCAAGAGAGAGCGATTCATCCCGTTCTGCGCCATCTCCACGTATGAGCTCTCCTCGTGCTGCAAATTGGCGAACAGACTCTCCATTATCTTAGGATTCGGTCTATCATCGCTGTTAGGATCCAATATAGCTTTTCTGGGAGACATGGGGAGATAGTGATCCTCGCTGTTAATGTCGTCCTGCTTCGAACTGGGATCGTTATCGGCAGAGAATTGGCCGCTGTGCGTTACTAACGATTCGGTCATGCTCGTTCTAGCACAGTCAGGACTCGGGATAACATTTAAATCGATCGATGGCACGCATTGTTCTGTCAGACTGTCTTTTGAACTGCTCATTCTGTTTTGCTTCGGAGATCCGTCGGAATTCTGCATTTCCTCGGCACCCGTATAGAGAGTGTCCAAAGCGAAACGTTGCGTAATATCTTCATTCTTCTCAACGAGTTTCTCCTTCTCGTCGTCTCTATCTCGACGATCCAAATTACTTCCAATGTCGTATCGTAATGTTTCATTATCACCATAGTTTCCGCGATGCTTCGATTCTTGCCGCTTCTCAAACTTCCGATTAGCCTGCTGCTGTGACTTCTGTTCGAAGTTCGCCCGGAGATCCTTGACTGACTTGTTACTATCAGTTGAAGCTTGCTTAGCGTGTCCCTCCTCTACGTTCTTGTGCTTGGTAGCGTTCTCCGAAGCATTTGCGTCACCCAGAGCGAAGCTGCGTATGACGGACGGGGGCTTGTTTGCGCAGTCGAGCTTCGAGACGTGAGCCTCGGTCGCCTGTAGCGGCGATATCTTCAACGGCTCCTGCATGGTCAACACCTCCTTGACCGGACTGGCGCCATCCATGTTCATCTCGAAAGATCTGATTCTGCACTGGACCAGATTCATGGTCTCGAATTTTTCGCTCTCATTCTCTTCCACTTTCGATGGCATCGGCACTTTCTTAGGATTAATATACTGATAAGAAAACTCCTTGATAACTTTGCTCTCGTCGATGCCGGGATCCCATTCGTCGTTATCGTCCTTAGAATCCCACTGTACGTTTTTCTGAACGTGCCACGACTCGTTGGTTCGATAACCGCACAGACTGTCGGATCTGTTGCTCTCGATCACGCCGGTTTGTTGCCCGTCATATTTCTGCTGATCGAAGCCGTAAGCGGTTGATGTCTTCAGAATGCCCAGCGGTTTCTTCGGGGTCTTGTGTCTCGCGGGGTCCTCGAAGGCGGCCTCGGGATCCGATCTTCGGGATGACGATTGCCTGTCCGCCGACGACGACGCGTACGCGTAATCGTTTCTCATCATCGGCGGAAAGCTGACCTCGTCGTAACCCGCGTCCGGCGGTATGCCACCCAGAGAGGAGAGCGCGCTCGCCGGGTTCGCTTTGCGAGCGTTAAGGGTTTGCGACTGCGGGATCTGATTAACGCTCGTGCGGCCGCTCCCGGGTATCGTGACATCCTGGACGGCGGAAGTCGCCGTTGATGACCGATCGTCGCCGGCGTGCCGGGGGCTCCTTCCTGCATGCGTGGGTCTGCGCGAGCGCTTCCTCCGGATATCTCCCAGCTCTGATTTGTTCGTTACAAAACACAAAGACACGAGTACGTCCGTTACTTACGAGTGTGCGTGTATGTGTTTATATGTATGTGTTATGAGAGAAAGAAACAATCCCATTTATACATTCCCGTTTCTACATTCCCATTAGATAATTCTAAGCAAACTCGTCAAGCGCGACAACGACATCGATGACCATTGCACTGTGAGCAACGAAGACGTTCATCTATTTTAATTATTGATAGTTAAAATTAAATTTATATGTTTTTATATGATTACTTTTGAAAGAAAATCTTGTAGATGTCTTAAAGATTTACGATCAGATTTTAAGCTCGATAAAATTCCGAGAATAAATATTAAAAATAAAAATTTCTCTCGTTGCGCAATTCGATCGTAATTGATCGTAATTGATGCAATGATCCCGATAATCGACTGACTGACTTTGCGGTTAATCGTAGATAGCGAATACCGCGAGCTGGAAGGTAGCGATCGTAATTGCGCAACTACGGCAAGTAGTGTTAGTGAAATTCTTTGGCATGCCATGCTGACCCATATCTTCTACGGTAATCGGATTACGATCGATGTTAAGTCGCATAGGATATATCGATACCCGACTTAGACAGGTAGGTTTTAAGATTGTTAATCGTTCCCATTCACCAGCCAGCTTAGACCCAACAGCAGCAGATAGAAGGAGCCCCGCGGAGAAACGCTCGCAGATATCCAGATTTTTAATTTCCTCTTCGACGTTACATCTCACATCTCGTTGAATTGACATGATATAGTCTCGTTAATCGTTTCCTTGACGATTATGTTAGTAAATAAAAATGAAAAAGAAGCAAATTCGGTTTTACAACGTTCGCAATTCGTGAGGAATAATACCGGTGCCTTGCATCAATTGCAATTTATTCGCACAATCGGGTATATTTTCGGGTTAGACAACATTTTTTTACATGTCATTGAGATACAAACATGCTGATAATTTTTATTTACAATTAAAAGAAAAGAATAAACGTCACTTGACATATTTCAATTATAACATAACGAATAACGTAACATTCATACAAAATTTTTACGGAATTCTCGACGTTTCATGGAAAAAAATGCCTCGGTTTCCGCGAGCAAGTATGGACATTGGATTCTTCAATGTGTTAGCAATTAAGTACCATTATGTTAGCATTTGGATTATTTTCAGCTTAGTTCAGCTATCTACTTTTGAACTGAATCTTACACCGCAGACAGGGCGCTTTCGAGGGACTCGAGGCGATCAAAATATTTGATATGAAAAATCTAAGTTTTCTCTTTAAAAAAAAAACGGTGTAATCTTTCCGACAATTCAAACATTGTTACCGCGAGCGAGAATACACATGCCCAACATGTCTAAAAAAAAAGAAGGTAATTGTCCCCACGCGAATTTCAATATTTCGACCGGGTCCCTCGTTACGCGGCGATCGAGAAGCTACCATTTAAATGATAAGTTCAGGCGAGCTAGCCCTACCTTCGTCATCGCTGGAATAGCTGTTGTAGCGTGGCACGTTGACGGCGGTCCGACGGCCGTCCGAGCTCTTGCTCCTGACATGCGAACGATGTCCGTCCTCCCGCCTCCGGGAGTGACGACCCTCCGCCACGGCGGCCTCGTGCGCTGCCAAATCCAGCAGCGCCTGTTGCTTGTAGTAACTCGAAAGATCATTTTGCGCCCTGCCGCGATTGGCCGAGCCGGACGGCTTGCGCGTCAACGGTGATTGCAGCATACGCTGCTTCCATTCTAGCAGCCGCTTCATCGACTCTTCGCGCTGAAAAAAAAACGGCATTGTAACGCAACCCTCCCATTAGCTATCTGACAGAAAGACGTATGCTATTTTCTGAGGATACTATATATCACAGCCTTAATGTCGGGAAATAATAATATGAGAAATTCAAAAAAGGATATTAAAAGTTATATTAATACGGCATGAGTAACGTAATAGCAATGACAACGAGTGAACGATGGTGAAAGCAAAGACACGGGAGAGTCGGGATGACGTAAGGTATGCGCAACGGGGATATCGTGAATCACGCTTGTCCACCGATGTTACCGACACGGTTGTCTTGTACGAGCTGATATGTACAAGCAATGCTGATGACCTACCTACCTGCAGCTATCTTATTCGAAGAAGCGCATCGCTCTATGACTCATCCCAGCTCTTCCGGGATACACACGGAAAGCGAGTTCGAGGAAATTCGCTTAGAAATATTTGACGATACATTTCTACATTCTTGCAAAAACTTTAGCATCAACATTATACATGCGTTACAAATAATAAAACACTTTACACATTTATTTAACCCTTTGTTGCATAGTGTCCTCTGCAAAGGATTCCTCTCTCGCCGCAGTTTTTGTATGTTTTTACGGATTTGGTAATTAATTTATATATTATTAAATATTTGATATTGTTGTATGCCTAAGACTTGTATGGATACATGAATAATAAAAATATGCAATTATTTTGCATTACTATATATAAGTTAGAAACAAAACAAAATTAGTCAAAATTAGCACTTTTTTTACAAAAATTCATGCTGGGATGAATTGGCTGCCGCCAATTTGATTTTTAAAATTTTGACTTTAGATTTGTAACCAGCGACCTCAAAAAACCACCATGTAAGATTCAGCAAAATATTAACACATTCAGTAGAAAAATTTGTGCAGTAAAGGATTAATAATTCAAAGAATATGTTTTACATTTATAAAACTTTTCAATTAACAAAATTTATACTTATTAATTCAATTTCACTTGTGTGAGTTTCTTTAGAAAATAAAATGAAAACACGCCGATTTTTCAGAGAAATCTTGTAGATTAAGGATTGAGAGATATCCAAAATATAACGTTAATACGAAATGTTACGAGGCCTTTTTGAAAATTAAAAAAAAAATAAAAAAAATCGCGCGTCTACGGAAAACGGAGAAACGCCAGGACTCCTTACCTGCTGAATCTTGCGTTCACCATCACGCGAGTCCTGCTCGGAGGACCTCTCGGCGTAGTCGTCGTCGTCGGGATCAAGGGCAGCCGGATGCCGTGTCCTTGGCAGACGCGCCGACGCCGATCTGCAGAACTGCTGCTGCTCGCTCCATCGTCTGCCGGCACCTGCGTGACCGGCGTGACACGTCTGAGCGATGTGGGTCCCGTGGGCACTGTGACCCGCTGCTCTTCCCCACCCGTCGTACTCGCCGCGCGGTACTCTGCGAGGGATCGTGTTGTCCTCGCCGTGTGTCAGCGTCTCGCGGCCATTCGCCTCGCAGCTTTTCTCGCGCAAGGATCTTCGGAGTTTCGGGTCGGCGCCCATTAGCCTGATAGAAACAACGTTCAAGCATGCGCGTTTTTTTCCCTCTTCTAAAATTACTCTAAAGTGCCAATCAAACAGGAGAAAATTGAGCTATTACATTTTAAAAATTCGCTATAATGTGTTCAGATGATTCGTTTAGATGTCTGTTTGGAATTTACGTAATCATCTTTAAAAGATACATAAAAGATACCCAAACGCACGTATACACGCGTACTTCGAAATATATATATATCTACTCTTTTTCCTTTTAATTATTTAATTGGAATTTTAGGGGGATCCTCTCCATGGGGTTTAATCATTTATTCGGACAGTGTACTGTGACTCACTCGGAATGTCTCTGCGTCAGCGACTGAGCGGGCATCGTGTGCTGCTGCTGATGTACGTGATCCCGCTGCGTGCGTCTCAGAGCGGGGCAAGCGGAATCCGGTAATGTGGATATCCTACTTTCATCGGTTTTATCGCGGACACCCGGCAGCTTCGGCTGCATCGTGACGCGCGAGAGGGACTGATTCCTCTGCTGCTGATAATGTTGGGGGGTCTGATGCAAATACACCGCGGACTGCCGCATCTGCGCCGCGTATCTAATAAACATAAACGCGAGCAGAGTGAATATTTTTCCTAGAGATCGATTTTCATTTTCTCTTTCTCGATATTTGCGTCAAAAACCTAAGAAATTTCGGCGCCCATACCTTTCCTCGGAATAGAAGTAACCGTCATTGGTTGTGTCTGATGGGTTCACTATATCTAAGCTGGATTTAGGCCTCTGCGGACGTCTTTGCTGATCCGGGAGTCTCTCGCATTGCGTGGGTTGCTGCTGGGGTCGCCTTGCTGCCTCATACTCGAGGAAATCCGCGCTATGCGGTCGCGGTGGCGGTTGAGCTCTAGATTGCCTTACCAACGTCACTAAAGAAGATAAATTACAAATGCTCTTTTCCATTACTGTGTTTTGGCTACATTACAACGTTATCCGACTTTCTAGCACATATATGATGCAATTTATGCAGTAGAAAAAGTTGAATTTTATTATAAAAATAGCACAAAAAAAGGATCTAAGTCACTGTTGCAATTATTATAACGATGCGATAAAATAAAACCAGTATCCATTTCTAAAATTATCTTTAACTAAAAAAAAAAAAATTTACAGTCTTGTCAAATTAATATTCGATTGCATTAATTAAAAAAGTTCGTGGACTTTTCGACAGACTTTAGAGGAGAGAATAATATTTTAGAATAATGACTCTTCCTTTGCGCTTCAAAGTAATATCACAAGATACGCTGAAAATCGCCAGTGGGCAAGATACGGCAGAGTTATCAAAGAAATTATTTCTACTTTTTCAGTGAGACTTGTGCCCTTGTGTGGGATTATTCATGCAATAATCTGCATATCAGTCCTACTATAGAACTTTTCAAACGCACGTCCTTAACAATTCGATAAGAAAGCCCGCTTTGTAGCAACGCTCAGACAAGCGTTGTTACAAACACACGTTCGCGTAAAATACTTTCATCTTTCACTCTCCGGAGAGGGTTACCGGCCGGAATGAAATGCCGGTCGTACTAATTACAAGCGCCTTTGTAGGGATCGCGTAAGAATAGAGAGAAGGTAAAGCGAAGGAATGCACAAAGACTCACTGTTCGGCGGCGTGACGGGGGAGTGCAGTTGCTGCAGATGCTGTTGCGCGTACAGGGGGATGGGAATGGGTGCCGGCGACGCGCCCTTGGTGTAACCCACCGGTCCCGCGGGCCTCTGATAAAGCTGCGGCGTGCCGTAGACCTCCTCGTAGTCCCCGTTGCCCCTGCTGCTGGTCCTCGGTTTCGCGCTGCGACCGTACGTGTCCGGGGTCCTCCTCTCCGTCGGTTGGACCGTCTGACCGTAGCCGTAATGCAGGCCCGATTTGTCGATTCGCAGACTCTGCTGCGACGGCGGCTGACTCATCCGCGTGCCGTAGATCGTGTTGTTCCTCTCGTAATCGGACATCGGGCTCTTGCTCGTCACCGTGACGTCCGGCGAGACCGGGCTCTTCCGGTAGTCCATATCCGGCGATGGCGTCGAGTACTCGTTAGAGCCATCCGTCAGTCTTCTAGGTTTCGGCGGTGCGTTCGCGTAAATCGGCTGCCCGAATTTCGTTCGTGGCATAGGTTGCATCGTCTGAACGCTACCCGAGCCGGAATGCGACAGCTGCTGGGGCTGTTGCGGCTGTTGCTGCTGCTGCTGCTGCTGCTGCTGCGGCGACTGTTGGAGCACGTGCTTGTGCGGATGCGACGACTGATGAGCCGGGAGCGCGTTCTGATGCGGCAAATGATGATGAAGCAACGCTTGATGCTGATGCGAGTGGCCCGGCTGCAGTTGTTGCGACGGCAAGTGCCCGTATTGCTGCTGCTGCGGCTGAGAGGTGCCGGGCTGGCCGTACTGCGACGACTGCTGCACCCAACCGTTCATCATCGGATGACCCGAGTCGCTCGCGTGATTGTTGCTGGAATTGCCGTTGCTGTTGCTACCGCTGAGATTCGGGAAGGAGGCAGTGTTCGCGCTGTTCGGGCTGGAGTTGTTGTTGGAGGCATGGCTGGGATCGTCGCGCGACTGGAAGCCGTGAAAGCCAGAGTCGCTGTCGTCGGCGCTCTGATTCAGGATCGACGAGATCGACGAGACGCTAGGTCGAGCGCTTCGTTCGCCTTCCTGCGCTATCTCTATGACTACCGCGGCCTCGCCCGCGCCACTAGTAAAAATAGAAATGAAATTGAAAATCCGATATTATTTTTAGTCAGCATTATTCGATATCATAGGTCTTTCACTCATAGAGTTCCTCGACGGGAGAGTCGAGGTCAATAAAAGTATTGATATAATTAGTTTACGAGATTATAACAAATAATAAAAATCTATATCCAATTTGAAAATTAGTGTCAGTTTGATATGGACCATTAATAGAATTTAATTGGATCGCCAGGTATATGAAGCATATATATAAAAAGAATTAATTTTAATGCATCTTTCTCGTGAGGCGTCTTAAAAATTCCTTGTGTTATCAAATACAGAGAAATTAATTCTTAACATTATTTCGGGTGCTGACGCGCACGCTTAAAAAACTCTTTAAGTTTCGATCATTTTTCACTCGTGCAAATAGAGGCTTAACTAGAAGACGCGGACAAAGCTCATGAGAAACAAGCGTTTGTTGTCCGCTGCTGCTGTGTCGTGCTGCTGACGACGTGCTAATGGACAACGGGCCCAGGCTCATCCACCGGCGGTATCTCGCGGGTCGAATAACTCTCGAGGAACTAACTAACGAGTTGGTTAGTTACGCCGCGATAACGCGCGAACGACAGATGCAACGACCGCATCGCGATACTTTCGCGTAACAAATAAACGTCGGTGGCCGCGGGTGTCGTCCCAGTTTCCTTCGTGGCGCATCAAAAGGATGTTCGCGCGTTCACCCCCCCGTTGCAGTGCCGAGCTAATTTCGGGATCTTCGCTCGGATCTCCAGACGGAGCTTAGCGCCGAAATGTCGTCTTAAAAGATGACATCTTTCAAGGCGTCGTCGAGCGTATATATAGTTGAGACAATGGGGAGACATTTCGTCCACCGTGTGAATAAGACCGGGACCTTTTATTTTCGCGATATGAGGTTCGCGGGAGATTTTCGATATAGGAGAAAGAGGTCTACAACGGTCTATGACGAAATTTTCATAATATTCAAAAGCTTCAGAATTCATGAATTTTGAAAAATCGCTGTAGAAACGTACGGGGTAGAAAACGGGGTCAAGTATAAAGAATGAGAGGTAAAATTGAACGAAATTTCCATGCGAACAAAATACAGGTGCGCGCGATGCGTGAAACGGAACTGTACGAGTACGAAACAGAATACAGAAGAAAATAAGGGGCGAGAGAGAATGAGAGAGAGAGAGAGAGAGAGAGAGGGAGGGGAAGTAAAGAGAGTATGAGACTGGGAGGATTATTTTCACAAAGAGATGCGCCATACAAGGAATTAAAACTTTAAATTAAAACGTAATATTATATGTGATAGAATGCGAAAGTAACGATTATTACAGTAATAGATTAAAAAAAAAAATTTGGTTTTTCATCGATAACATCACTGCATTTCGCTTTTCGTTTATTTATTCAAGCTACGTATAATGGCAAGAGCGATAAAGGATGCAGCTGCTTCTCTCGCTAATATAAACCAATAATTATTAAACGTCGAGAGCGCACCGATTCGACTTTGCCGGCTCGCACTAGCATTTCCTAATTAGCATTGAATAATTAAATTTATTTAATTTCTTATGATTAATAACGGGGCCCGGAATAAGCTTTCGAACGTGAGCCGTACTTGTTCTCGGTTTTCTACACGATATGGCGTAATTACCGTGCGTTTTCCCGTGAGTCCTTTGAACAGCTTAAAAATGCATGCAGGGAACTTACGGGCTGGGATCTTGCAAAAGCGTCGCCAGAGTCAGAGCATTCACCCACTGGTTCATGCTCTCCCGACTGTCAGCCGCGAAGTGGTAAGTCCTCATGTTCGCGTGTTCGGCCTTGAAGGCGAACTTCTTGTTGACTTTGTCCTCGGGTTTGCAGACGGTAACTCTGTACGAAGGTAGTAATATCGAACCTAGCAGTTTCTCCTCCTCCGGGCCTGAAAATTAGTAAATTGCTACGTTGCAGTAAAAGCTACGACGACGACGAGACTGATGGTCTTATTTCTGAAATCAGACGAGAATATCTAATTTCACGTTTAAACTCGCGTAAATTGCGCGCTATACGATATTTCAATGTGTCTTTAATTTTCAACCGCGAAAAATGACACATGATATATTTTCATACACATCACTCGTAACGTATAAAACCACGACCTGTACAATGCCTGCATGTATACGTTCAGATAGTCGGTCAAACGCAAAAATATTTGTGACATCTTGTTTTCAATCCTGACTAGTTCAAACACAGCATTTGATGATATAACTGCAATATCCCCTATAGCTATTCTCTCTTTTTCTCTCTCTCTCTCTCTCTGTCTTTAAACTCGAAATTTCCCTCTACGGTCTATTTCTATGATTGATGTACGATGTGTATACAGGCATGTACCTCCATATGGCTTTAAACATTTACGAAAATAAATATTTGCATATTTGCTACACAGTTCACGATTGCATGACGATATTAATCTCGAAAGACACGAAATTCCATGGATTTTTATCAAACAAAAATGCGAGTTTTTGAATGTGTACTCGTATGTACATGTGTACACATAACCACGAAATCTCGGCGAGCGAATCAAATTCTCGCGCGTTGTGTTTCGGACAAGTTGGAATTTCAGTATAAATTAATTTCAAGCTGAGCGATCCACTACCGATAAATACTAGAATAACGCGAACGATAAACGAATGCTTTTATCAATTACAAACTGTGGATTCTCAATTAACTAATCCACACAAATAGAGTCTTCTTTCGTATTTGATAACTAGAAATGTAAAATTGAATTGTATATTTATTTGTAAATTTTATAATTAAAGCAATTAAACGTGCATAAAATCAAAATTTTTCACGTTTAATAGTCAAATTTCACATATAGATCTATTTTAATTAAAAATGTCTGAATGTAACAATCGAGAAAGTCTTTTTATTTAGAAAATATATTTATATACTTTTAAATATTATGAAATTTCTCATTTATTTTCTCGTTTGTTTAAGGGAATTTTCTCATTTAGAGCAATAATAGTTATCTTTTGCGAATTTAAAAATAGAACAAAAATATTTTCATTACATGAAGTTTTTGTATTTATTGTGTTAGCTTCGAACAACATTCCAGAATTCTTTGATCAGAGCTAATGATAATAACATCTAACAATAAGATATAAAGCTATGAGTGAGGCGACGCGGACAGAATGTTTCGTGACGGTGATTGCATAAAGTGCAGCTATCTGAAGCAAAAAAAAATCAAAATACTTTTTGTTTTCTGTAAGTGTCGTCAGTTATCTTCCGCTCCGGAACGCTCATTAAAAATACGAAAATAATAGAATGACAGCACTTTGAAAAAAACTTACATTCTTACGTTTAACCTTTAAACTTTATGAATTTTATAAATAGCGTAAAAATATTATAAACGTATTTTTAAGATTTAAGAACTCGAGGGAAATGCAAAAAGAATTTAAACATTTAAAAATTTTGCGAAAATCCGCTTAAGAGATTAAAAATTGCATAATAAATTTTTTGTCAAAACGTAGGAAATTACTGATCTTCGACATTTTAAATAAATTGCATATTAAAACGAAACGATAGGAGAGAAGAGTTTGTTGTTGAATACAAGTCGAGTATTAGTTCGCGAGCTCAATAAGGATACTCGAAGAAGCCTCACGCGGGCCGCTAATTAGAGGGCGGTATGCATCGAATCTAATTTAACTAAAGTTAGTAAACGACACACCGCGAACTTCCAGCGAGAACTTCGTTCCCGTTGGATGATGTGAAAGACACCCCGGGGTGGCGCGTGCGGGGTGTATCCTTAGCGAGGACGTATCTCTGCTGCAGCGACCGCGATGTGCTCGTGCACGTACCGAATCAAAGAGCCCGAGTGTAATTAGCGTCCCTGACCGAGTCAGATTAGACGAGCAGCGTCGTTCGAAACGGCCGGAAATTGGTCGTCTGTGCGACCTCGGTTAGCAAGACGTAAAACAGGACAGGACTTCTGGCAAGATGCCAGAATATCTTCGCGAAACTGGATGCACCAAAATAAAAGTTCGTAAATGGAGCAGACACGAATCGATCAGTATGGCAACTCCGGAAATATTAACGTCTATAAATTTATGAAATAGGAATTTTATTTTCATTCCCGGGAATGATTTTTTAAACATTCGTAATGGATAATTGTACTGTAAAAAATTATTTGTGTAGTTTAAAATATATCATTTAAATAGGAACTGTCGGTACTTTGTTACAACTTGCGAAAATTGAATTTTGTCAATTAGACTTAATTGTGAAAAAAACCGGAACATTATTAAGGAATATCAATTTCATGCGAAATGATCATTAAGACCTCATTCGTTCGATTTGCGTAATATGGTCAACGAGAGAGCTTATATTTATACTAATAACTAATTTTATAATTTCCGTTAAATTGGTGATTAATAGGGACTATCTGGGATAATTATTAATGATCATTCCAGTCCATAATGTCGATTGATAATTATATAGCAAATAAACGTTATATCTGTCGGATTCGAATATTAAGCTGAACGAGCTACATTGTTCCGATTAATGAAGCTCATCAAAACCGGTATCGTAATACTATAGCGTTACGCTCGGTGCAAAAGGTAGCAAGAGAGGGAAAAAAGCATTAAAATACGGGGAAAAAATATCGATAATACAAACAACGTGCCAGACTCACCCTTGTAATAAAAGAGACAGTACTCGGAGAGGACGAACCAGCGCTTCTTCCACAACATGAGACCCTCCGAGCCCTGTTTATGCAGCCATCCCTGCAGCGCAACGGGGGCGGAGAGGGGCCTCTTCGCGGCGGGCGAACGCAGACCCCCTTGTGGGCCGCTCCGCCTGCGCACCCCCGACACGGAGGCCGCCACCCCCGAGCCATCTTGCTTGCTACGTACCTGAACCGGCACGGCGGGCGGCGTGCTCGACTGGACAATCTGTAAAATGAGAGAAACGCGCCTTTTTCTTATCAAGACACTCATTTACAAATCTTACGACCGACGTTACATCAACGTCGGTTGAATTTAACTAAATTAAAGCCGTCCTCATATCTCGAAGTGGAAGAGAATGAAAAATCGATCAAGGCAACGGTTAAGATTAATCGCACGTTTTTCCTTAATTAATTTCATTTAAAGGATGAACTTTTGTGGAGCTTTCACTTTAACCTTAATCACAGTGATGTTTAATGCACAAAATTTGGAGATCGTGACAGTCTACGTTCACATCTAATCAAATATTTATTAAGGCGAAATTAATCGCAGAATTTGTGACCTCACGATACTCATCATTAATACAAGTGTATATATAATTCAATTTATATGATTCAAAAGTAGAGCAGATCTAATAAAAAAAAAACATTTATCCAATTAATGTGACACATAAAATGTGATATGAATATTTTATTACGCAAATTTTAAATATGTTAGCAAAATATGTTTATTATTTACATAATAGTCGCATGTTACGTCACACGACATTGAAATGAGGTAATGAGTAGCTTTAAACATTTTCCAAGCTGGAAGAATTTACTAAGTAAACGCGACCCCGCGAGATAAAGATATATAGGAAGCTGGAAGTAATAAATCTTCCAGTGAAATTTGGAATCTTTCTCGCGCCACGATCAGAGCACGCGGCCGAGAGATCTCGACACCTTTTATTCGGTGGTGCCTTCCTCCCACCGAACGCGGCTGATCGAAATCCGTTTTTCCGCTTGCCAACGCGCCACGTTATCGCGCAAAATTGCCGTTGGCCGACAAAAATTTCGCCACGCCACTCGGAACCGTCTATCCGATAATGAAAAGCCATGGGGACGAAAAAAGGAAAGAAATGCGACCGCCGGCGATAGCGGCGGTCGCTATTCGAACGTGAAATTCGTCCGATCCGTCGATTCAACCTCGTCGTCTCCCGTGACGCCCGTATGGGAAGAAAAGAAAGACGGGCTGACCAATCCGGCGAACAAAACAACCGCTAAATAACTAATTACCCGGGGTAGACGTGTGTCAGGCAGCGGGATACATTTTCAATGACGAGCACGTGCCTCAGCAAAGTCCAGTCGGATTTAATCCTCGAAATAGAGCCGGTGTATTATGCAGCCTCTGCTATCGATTTCCCTCTACCTTTCCCGCATCAGATTTAAAAATACATGCGCAAAAGAGCGCCGGCGTATCGGTCTCGGTATACAAAAGAGATCGGAAGAGAGGGTCGTGGGAACGCTCGAAACTCCATTCCTGACGTGGAAATGAATAATTTACCGCCCTCGCTCTATCTCGCTCTCCACCTGACTCACTCGTTTTTCTCTTCTAGAATTTTACGAGACACAAACCCCCGGCTCCCCGAATGCATCAGCCAGCGACGAAAAATAGTTTACATATTTGCGACGCTCGCAGGTTTCCTCCCGGTAGCGGTGTATGTAGGGTATTGCGCGCAACGGCGAGATATTGCCGTATCGAACGACGGGAACGTTAGCATTAACTTCGTTCGGGAAGTAGCGTCATAGGGAAGTAGTTTACGACGCCGAGCGAAATCAATATGCCATTTCGTAATATTCTTTCCGTCGTGTTCTTTCGCGCGTTATTAAAATTTATGGATGGTAAATCATAAATTTACACAAACTTACAAAAGTATCCATCGGAAGAGGCCTGTACACCTCGGAAAATCTCGAGCGGATATACGACGCGTTATGCGCAACGCGACGCGCTATACCCTCGTATTACCGCGGTAACATTGCGCTCTCAGACGCGACACTTGCCAGATCTTATATACTTCGCGGAAGGACTTCCGTCAACAAGAAACTCGTAGATATCGTTTTATCTAAAGGCATATAAGAGGGAGAGGACATAACGCTCGCGTTTCCTCGGACGCGCCCGTAGTTTTCTGGCGCTCTCAGAAATGCCGATAACACGAGCTGTATTTTTCAGGAATACAAAGTACCGCGAACGTCTCTTTGAGAAAATTCGCAAGGTGCGACATATACGTATATAGCGCATAGAGAGCGCCCGTAAATCGCATCGGTAAGAAACTACACACCGTCGGCCATTTGCTCTCCCGGAGGATACATCAAATAACACAATGCATACGTTGTCGATCGCAATCGAGAGAGAAAGAGAGAGAGATATGGTACGGCGGAGCGAGGGATTCTGAGTCACTCCTAGCGTCGCTGTCCTTTCCACATCTTCCTCCTTATCATAACGTCGCACTTTTCTCTAATCGATAACTGCCGGTTATCGAGCCGGGTTATTGATATTAAGATACCGAAAACTAAAATGCATTTAGCACTTCAGATAGATCTGGAATTTTAGATTTGGAATAAAGAGCGCGATGTCATCAGGTGTAGTGTATTCAAGGAGATGTAGCGTTACGATTTGGAACAAAAACGATGCGACGATCTGAAAGGGACGGACAGAAGAAGTGATATCTAAAATTTATCCACGTTGCTCTATAGCCAGCTATTTTCTCACTTCCACTTGACGAAATATTAAATACAATTAGTACTCTTTCTTCCGAGAAGAGTACGCCCGGACATGTATTAATACCGAAGTGCCTTCTCCGTGCTTACTCTCGACAAAGCTCAATGCATACAAACGGCACTCGTATATCAATTAAGAAGAATACAAGAGAAATATATCGAGGAATATTCATCGAGAGATTAATTCAATAGCACTCGTGAGAGCTTAGCGAATTTCGCTTTTCAGACGCAAATACGATTCATTGAGAATTAAACGCGGCGAGAACATCAAGGCAGCGTATATCTCTAGTCCACAATTTATACAAGTCCCCTTCTCGAAATTCCGCGTAAATCTTGCGCGAGGGGACGCGCCGTATCTTGCGATACAATACATTAATCATCGTAATAAATGACGAAGCTGAGCCTGGCTGGCCGACTCTTTCGGTGGAGACTCGTCGAGGAAAGCTCCCCGGCGAGAAAACTTCCTTTCAGACCGGGAGAGAATGGGGCTCCCGAACCATCCGACATCTTTTCGAATTTGAAGTAGGTCAGGTCGATTACGGACACCCTGTGTACGAGCGCCCGTCGCTATTTCCAGCCGATCATCGCGCTAGGAATGCATCAGCCGCGGGGGAATCATCGACAGATCCGTCCGGTGACAATCGCCGTACGACCTCGTTTTCGAGAAACCGACATCGATGACGCCGCCGACGTTTTACGAGAGTGAATCATGCGAAACGCAAACGGCGATTGCGCAAGCGGCGTCATCATTGAGTGCGGAGGCGTCGGCACACGTACGGACGTAAACAGCGTCTCGATATAGAGAAAGAGATAGATAAATATTATAGATAAGTAGATACACCAATAGATAGATAAATAGATAGGTAGAAAGAGATAGACAGAGAGAGAGAGAGAGAGAGAGAGAGAGAGAGAGAGAAGAAGAAGATAAAGAAGACCCTCGTGATTGATCTCTCTCCTCGAGAACGCGTTACGCAGGAGTTGCCGCGGAAGTGTATTAGCGGGGCAATGCGCTCTCGTTGTCCCGCTTCGTCTCCGGCGCGTCGCCGCGCCGCGGAGTCGTCCGTCCGTCTCTCGTCCGTGAAATTTCTCCTATACGAGCTTTCGTCGTGCCACGAAAAAGCCGGACACGGAAGAGGAGTCGCCCGGGTAATCCGTTAAATTACAAGCGCCGCTCGCGCGCAGTTCCTCGACGACGGAAGCGAGTCGGCGGGCTGCTCGCTCGACCAAAAAAGACGAAACTCCCGGAGTTCGACGATCCCGCGGAAAACGAAGTTCTCGACGGGAAAAGCGGCCCGAACTCCTCCTCGCGGCAAAACTTTCGCTCTCCCTTCCTCGCTCTTTCTCTCTCTCCCCCCCCCCCTCCCCTCTTTTCTTTTCTCACGGCGGCCATCGAATTAAATCGCGGCCGATTCGTATTGCTCGCCATTATCCCCCAACGAGGTAATTGCCGAGTCACACGATGCTAATTCGAGCGATGCTTCTAATTGGGAGAGCGGCATCAGCGCGCGGATATGGTTTCCGCGCTAAACCTCTGCCATTCTCGTGCTGGCACAAAGGTCCGCGGCCGGCATGCAACTCATTAAACATTGCGGTTTCGAACAGTAGGTAATAATCGATCGCGGGAGCGATCGTTATTTATAGCGATCCGCGCTCCACGCCAATTTCGGCTGCGACGCGATTTGTCGTAATTTCACCGTTCTCCCTTCACGAAAATAAATTCTGATCCGTGATACTCGTTTGTTTCAAAAAGAAATATAATTTCGACATAACTAAAATTTATTACACGATTAACTGGCAAATATCAGGCAGTCTTATATTACCTTTTTGTTGTCCATCCCGGGCGTAGAGCTGGTCACCGGCTGGTCGAGCCTGTAACAAAAGAAAAAAGAAATTACTTTGACACATTTATACGACGAAATACAACTTATCATTTTTCACATTTATAATTCATTATACTGTGAATAAATGAATAAATATATGTGGAATAAATAAATAAATAAATAATAATGGAATAAACAAATTTACTTTACGTCACTCGCCAAGTGTCTGATATTTCGCGAATATATATTTTACTTGTCATCTTTTCAACGTGTGCTCTTCCTCGTAATATATTTCGCTATATTTTCTGCCCGACTTCCGCTTCCGCTACTTCAAAAATAATCGTGTCAGTGCCTGTCGAAGGATATCGAGCGCGTTCGTCACTTTCCGCTCCCGCGACTCGCGGACGAATCTCGACCTCGATTCTCAGACAATACGGACGACGAAGCTATATGCCTCCGTGTTTTTCGGTACATTCGGGAGTAGTGAAAAATTTATTGGCCATGCAGACGGATAGAGTCTGGTCAATATTCATGGCGCCCCCCTCCGTCCTCCAAAAAAAAAGTTCCGAAAGTTTCATTTGACAAGTTTCCGCGCCGGAGAACCGTCATTATTTTGCCCAGCAGTGACCGCATATTGGAATAATGTTATGCGCTATATGTAAAACACGCATTGTTTCTTTAGGAAGCCGATGGACATTCGCGGTTACGAATCACCCCCAGTTAAATTGAACGGTAAAATAATGTGATCTGGCGATAAAACCGTTTCGCGAGTACGGTACATCGTGAAATTTAAACAATGGAACATTTCAATAGCTTCATTATTCTCGGGCTTTCCCGCCGCTTTATCTTCTCATTTTCTTTATTACGGTATCGCTCTTTCACGTGAGAGAAACATATTTTTGCACGTTGTATCCTCTCTTAAAAATGAGTGCGATTGTTTGGCGCGTATACTGCCTCCTCGCTATTTTTACGCCATTTCTATACGAAAAGTCACGTCCCGTCGTGGCTACGAACGTCGAGTACCTATGCAGCAATGGCATTCGCTACTACAGGGAAGAAAGGGTCAACACACTATGCCGGGATGCCCTTGCTTGTGCCGTGTGCAGTCTCAAAGGCATAACGCGCCATCGCTTTTTATTACTCACGCTGCTATACGCCGGTATAGGTGCAATGTGGTTGCGCGACGTGACGCGACGCGTGGCCGTTCGTTCGGAAAGTCGCCTCGGTTAGCGGGATAGATCGATTTATCGTCCCGGACGGGTTTTATTCCTGAGGGCGGCGAGCACGTACGTCGTCGATCCGTACGGTTCTAGTCCGTCGCCGTCGCCGCCGCCGCCGCCGTCGTCGTCGTCGTCGTCGTGGCGCGGCCACGAACGGACGCCGCACGTGACGAGATGAACGCGCGCGTCAACGGACGCGCGCACGCGTACGACCCGATCATCGCATGTGTAAAGTTAGCACACCAACATTAAAATTCCATAGTTCTGATTAGAGTTCCCGCTTGATTTCGAAGAGACCGAAGAGTTCTCTATAGTTTGTAACAAGAGTTCGATTTAATGACAATTATTTTTAATTCCATGAATTTTGATAAGTTAGCATCCCATTTTTTAAATTTAAATTAAAAATTGTTTAGAAACCCTTGTTACAAACTATAGAGAACTCTTCGGTCTTTTCGAAATCAAGCGGGAACTCTAATCAGAACTATGGAATTTTAATGTTGGGATGCCAACTTCACACACGGCCGATCACCGGCGACAGAACCCCCGTCGAATTTCCATTTCCATTCCCGGCGCGTGTCGCCCGATATTAAAGCCCCGAAATCCTTTTATCAGTCGACTTGATTCAATTTAATCTCCCGAAATTGTGAGAACTGTTATATAAATTGATGTCATCGAGCTCTTCCGGTGCGACGCTTGAGTAGGTATATCTCTTTCCCCGAGGGTCGATATAATAAAACCTTTCCGTCCAAACCGTCATTGAAATTATAATGAGTAAAATATAATTTTATCCAATATCGTATTAATTTTATAATAGTATAATATAATTCAGTATCGAGTGCGTTCGATATCGTTAATTATATCTACCGAAAAAAATCACGAAAAACGATTTGATGTAGGTATTACAGATGTACGTTTGCCTTCAAGACGCCGCACGGCGAGTGAATTTTACCAATCCGAATGATCAATCAGATCACGGTCGAAATGGTTATTATAATGAACGTCGAATTCTTTTTTTTTTTTTATAGATATCAATTTTTTTCTAAACCACCAATCCCTGTTTTCTCCGCGTCCTAATTGCGGGATCGGTCAATCTGATCGATGACGAACGGGGGACTCGCGTAACCGACTGCGAAAATTGTCGATTCGTTTTACCAAAAAGCTGAAAGCGCCGGCAAACGTACATATATGGCTTGCCGAAACCGCAGATTCGATTGACCGGTTTGCCGGTCCGTTTCCAATTCGCCACGTTGAATGCCGGCTGATCCTTACTCCCGGTATTAGAATCCAATCGCGCGTTTAGACGACGATAAGATAATCGACTGTAACGGAGCGCACGCGCGCGTGCGCCGCGTCGACGACGGAATGATTAATGCCATTAACGTCGCATTCATCTGGAATAGCAAAGCGGAATAGCGTCCAAATGAAATTCCAGACAATCCATTGCGTGGCTCCGTGCCTTCCGATCCGCTCGCGACTGTACGCGCAGATTTTAATGACTGTTCTTAATTGGCGCAAAATTGCTGCTCTAATGGTTGGTCCACAAAAGAGCGAGAGGGAGAAAGAGAAAAAGAGATGCCGCGCCATATAACTTCTGAGCTCACGATGTAATTAAAAACCAACGTACTAAACCGCACTCGTGCACCCTAATAGAGCTATTTCTATCTACCGCCAAACTGCTGTTTTCTTCCGACCCTACTCTCGAAAGTCCGCGTGTTCCGTAAAAGGCGGTGCTATCGACCTTCTTCTTCCTGTTGTTTTAGCGATCATGATAATCCTCCGAATGGCGCTATAAGACCGAAATAAAATACGAAACGAGTTCTACGAGGCAGGCAATAAAATCGTGATGTTCGCGTGCGAATACGAGTAAGTCTGTTGCATCCGGAATAAATCTCTGTTCTTTTTATGGCATTTTCAATATTAAGCGTCCCAAAAAAATATACGATTAATTAGAGGTATCCTAATACATAATAATAATAATAATAATAATAATAATAATTTAATTATTATCGATATAATGCACAATCTCATATAACAGTAAAATGAAAAAATAACACGCTTATGATGAGTCGCAGCCATTGCGATACGTATTGTATAATTGGATATACGTACAAATACTGGAAAAAAAAATCAATTCTAATTCTCAGCTGCGACAAATGCAAAGTCTGATGGCTCATCTCGTACGACGAATCGCCGCACACTCTTAATCATGTATCACCAAAAATTGAAGGTACTTATATACATGTGAAATATAAACTCTACGTAATTACGAGGGACACAAGTAGGTACATCCCTTAAATATGTACCGTCAAAAATTGGAGGTACACCGAATCTTTTTATCAATTGTCTCGTCATGATCAAGGACTTGCCAAACACGGCGGTACATTTTTACCGCTGAGTACCTCGTATTTATAAATACGAGGTATCATACGCAATATTTTTTATCTCGTATTATACATACACGCGGTACGAATTCGGAGTCTTGTACCTCCAAAAGAAAAGCATCGCGAATTTCAGATGCAGTGCCTCCAGAATGCAGAAGCAGCAGAAGAGCAGTACCTCCAATTGTATATCGCCGAATTTGTTATTACCTCGTATATTCCGTACCTCGTGCTAATGTACCGCGAAAAATACCTCCTTCTAGTGCGTAACTCGAAATGTCATTTCCATGCTCAAAAAAATACCTCGTATTTGGAGGTACTAGGCGATACATGATTAAGAGTGCAGAAGCGATGTGGCACACGCGACAACCGACGACGAATTAGGCGCCCGCCGGCCCACGGGGAAGCCGGTCGTCGGGGATACGAACGATCGCGCGCGAGACGTATACTCAAAATGCATCGTCGTACATACGTTACTTTAACGTTCGCGCACGCGGCGACCGAAATTGGGTCGCCGCGATGCGGTGCCGCGATGCGCCACGGATCTAAACCTTTGATGTAGCGGCGGCGTGTACACTCGTTTATTCGCGGTGGCGCGCCGCGAATGCGGCATACGTCCCTACGCCACGCGACGGGTATCAACCGCACCGATCTTTCCCGGGGCTAGGAATGCTTCTTCTTCTAGCGAAAACGCGCGCTGGCGCCGCGATTATCATTTCACGTTCTGGCAGTTACCGTTTACGCCGGGATATCCGATGAAATTTCAGGCCGCTCATGCGGCGGCGGTGGATATTAAAAAGAATTAAAAGAAACAAGCAAGTTTTTTCCAATTTCGAGACTCTGTTTTCTCGCATATTCAACTTCCGATAAAAATAACTAAACAAGTACAACAGAGGCGTTCTAATATCTCGATAGAATTTATATTTTTAACATTTCAGTTTCAAACGGTTTTTTATTAAAAAATAAAAATTAAACGATGGAAGTTAAAGCGCCGCCAACACGTGAAGGACAATCGTATACGAAATGTTTTCAAACCCCGGACTGCAAACCGGAGGCAAACATATCAAAGGATTCAGGTATGCTTGGGACACTCCGTGGAAAGTGATGTAGAAAAAGCTTTCCGCCGTTCCTTGCGCGCTTATTACAGTATTCATGTTACAGACATATATTTACCGTAATACGACACTACCGCGCGTCGCGCGTCATAATGAAATTAGAGTATAGTTATGCTCGAATATAACGTTGAACGCGACGAGACGGACAAAGCAAAAGCAGACAATTAAAAACGCATGCAGCGGCCGCTCGGCAGTCTGAAAATGAGAGTTTAATGCGGTCCACCGGTCTATATGTAATATATACACATATACGTATATATAATAAAATAAAAGCGTTAATCTAAATGCGTGCACATATATGTATAATATATATATATGCACGCGCCTAGATTAAAT